TCTTGGCATGACAGTCCAAGATAGCGTGGTAAGGTGATAACCAGTCCATCCCCAATATAACATCGAAATCGACCATGTCTAGAAGCAACAAATCCACACGAGTCTCAAGACCCCCAATCACCACAATACAAGAATGATGGACTCGATCTACCATAATAGAATCACCCACCGGTGTAGACACATAAATAGGAATACTCAATGAATCACTAGGCATGATCAGATACAGTGCAAAATAAGATGACACATACGAGTAGATAGACCCTGGATCAAATAACACTGAAGCATCTCTATCACAAACCAGAATAGTACCTGTAATGACTGCATCTGAAGCCTCAGCCTCGGGCCTGGCTGGAAGGGCGTAACATCGGGGTTGGGCCTCACCACCCTGAACTATATCTATGGGACGGCCTGCAGTTGGCTGGCCTCCACCTCTGGCGGCCTGAGCTCCACCTATAGTACCTCTACCTCCACCTCTAGCACCTCTACCCCCACCTCTAGCTGGCTAGGCAGGCTATGAAACACCGGGTGCCCGTACCATAGCACGAGAACCCTGATGCTGAGAGCTACTCAGTACTCGAGGGCAAAACCTGGCAATGTGACCCGAATCACCACACGTGTAACAAGCCCTTGGCTGCTGAGACTGCTGGCCCTGATGACCTAAATGACCACCCCAAAAATTCTGAAGCGGCGGTGTATTGATAGGAGCAGGTGGTGCACTGTAGGACTGCTGATCGGAATACAGCATCTGGGGACCACGACCACCTGAAGTACCATGAGAAACCTGGAGCACTAACTGAAAGGGCCTGGCCTCTACCATACGAATCTCGACCTTTAGATGAGGTACCACTGAATCGGCCTGAATGACGGGGCCTCTTGTCTGACCTATGACCGCCTCCCTGCGACAGAACCATCTCAACTCTATAGGCCACATTGGCCACCTCTTGAAAAGTAATCTCACTCCCAGCCTCTCTGGCCATCTGAAGACGAATCGGCTAAATAAGACCGTTAATAAACCTCCCCACCCTCTCTCTCTCGGTGGGGAGTATGATGAGAGCATGGCGAGCTAAGTCGATGAACCTGGTCTCATACTAGGTAACAGTCATGGAACCCTGCTGAAGGCGCTCAAACTGCCTCCGATAGGCCTCTCTCTAAGTAACGGGGAGAAACTTCTCAAAGAATAACACTGTAAACTACTCCAAAGTCAAGGCTAGCGATTCGGCTGGTCTAGCTAAGCAATAATCCCTCACCAAGTCTTGGCAGATCCAGACAAGCAAAATGTAGCAAAATCGACCCCATTGGTCTCGACAATGCCCATGTTCCTGAGAACCTCGTGGCAGCTGTCTAGATAATCATGGGGATCCTCAGTAGATGCACCGCTAAAAGTAGAAGTGAGGAGCTTGGTGAACCTATCCAGTCTCCACAAAGCATCGGCGGACATAACCGGTCTGAGCTACCACACTCGGCTATACTACTCCAACTAGCTGAACTGCTGGAGTCTAAATTTGAGGAGCTACCTGCTCTGGAGTGCGAGTAGTAGGAGTCTGGGCCCCTCTTCCAGCCTGAGAGACAGCTGGTGCTACCGGAAGCAAGCCTGCCCGGGTGACACTCTCCATGAGGCCCACTAATCGGACCAGAGCATCCTGAAGAACTGGGGTAGCAATAAACCCCTCTAGGACCTAAGCTGGGCCCACCGGAACTGCTGGATCCGGAACCTCCTCATCAAAATCAACTTGAGGCTCTGTCACTAGGGCTGTTGCTCGGGGCTGAGATTTGCCCATACCTCGGCCTCTAGCACGGCCTCGGCCTCGCCCTCTGCCCCTCGTGGGAACTGTTGTCGGGGGCTCGGGCTACTGAGCGAAGGATGAGGAAGCACGTGTTCTCGCCATCAGCGAAAGAACAGAGTAAAAGTCCAATTAGCATTGAGAAACAAAACCGAACGACAGGAAAGATTAAATGTGAAGTTTTTCCTAACTCTATAGCCTCTGAGGGATAAATACAGACGTCTCTGTACCGATCCCTCAGACTCTACTAAGCTTGTCTATGAACTGTGAGACCTATATAACCTAGAGCTCTGATACCAACTTATCACGACCCGAATTTCCCACCCTCGGGAGTCGTGATGGCACCTACTAATGGGAGCTAGGCAAGCCATTCCCTTAACTAATTGCTACACTTTAATTTTTGCTTCCTTTTAACAAACACAAGTCGATAATATGATAAAAGCGAAATTTTAAATAAATAAGCAAAAGTCAATAATTATATATCTTAAGGCTACGTTAATTACAACTTTTAGAACCTCAAATACCCCAAAACCTGTTGTCACAGTATCACAGACTATCTAAGAGTTACTACATACAAGGAGTGAAGAAATACAATACACTGATTCTGAATAAAAGGAAATGAAACAGGAAATAAAGATAGAGGGAGATGCCAGGGCCTCCGGATGCCTACACGTCTTCCTTAGGTCTCTGGGTGGACTGAAGGAAGCACTCCAACTATTGTCCGAAAGCTGCTCCTAGATCTGCACACAGTGGAGAGTGTAGTATCAGCACAACCGACCTCATGTGCTGGTTAGTGTCTAGCCTAACCTCGGCGAAGTAGTGACGAGGCTAGGACCAGACTACCAAATAAACCTGCGCAGTTCATATATATATAGCGGAAAAGAAATACAAAAATAACTAGTCAATGTGGGAGGGGGAAACATATTGTGGGGGAGATATTAGTTCCGAATAGAAAGGCATCAAGTAAGGAAAGAAACAACATAGCTAGAATATCAACAAGGAAGCAAAAATCAACAATTGCACAGCATCAGCCTTTGTGCTTTTACTCTCAGCCTCACCAAAGCAGTTATATAATAAAAATGTGCACGGCATCACCCTTCGTGCTTTTACTCTCGTCCTCACCGAAAAATCATATAATCAAAATGTGCACGGCATTATCCTTCGTGCTTTTACTCTCTTTCCTTACTATATAATCAATAGATTCGGCAGGGAATGGTACGTCGTGCGGCACGGCATCACCCTTCGTGCTTTATACTCTTTCCTCACAATAACAAACAATGCACGGCATCACCCTTCGTGCTTTAACAATCTTCCTCACCTAAACAACAATCACAAGCAAAGGGGCAAGGGAATAAACAAAATAGTAATAGAGATCCTGGCAAGGGAACAACAGTTAAGCAATTAAATCCCGACAAGGGAACAACAATTAAACAATTAAATCTCGGTAAGGGAACAACAAATAAATCAACAATAGCCAGGCAAGGGTGACAACATAATGATCTCATCTCTTTCTCAATTTTACTTCACAATTCACTTCACAACTCGAGCCAATGCTCTAGAGGTTCGATTATCACTTATACTTTCACAATTCATTTCACAACTCGAGTCAATGCTCTAAAAGTTCAATTGTCACTTATACTTTCAAAATTTTGCTATACAACTTGAGCCAACGCTCCTCAATGTTCACAGGTCACAATTCGTTCCACAAACATTATACAACAATTAGTAATTTTCACCAAGGCATGAATAATACAACAAAATCATGAAAATCACAATATAAGACTCACGGTCATGCTTGACACCAACGTATAGATACTCATCACCATACCTATACATCGTACTCGACAAGAAGCAAATAGCAAATAGGACACAACTTCTAATCCCTCAAGCTAAGGTTAGACCAAACACTTACCTCAATGCCTCGAACACAACTCAAGTTTCAATTATAGCTTTACCCTCGATTCCACCGCCAATTCGCTCGTATCAAGTCACAAGTTACTTAATTACATCAATAAATGCTAAATGAATCAATTTGAATGCATAAAAATGAGTTTTCTAAAGTTTTACCCAAAAGTCAAAAATCGCCCCCGGGCCCACGTGGTCAAAACCCAAGGTTCGAACCAAAACCCGATTACCCATTCCCCCACGAGCTCAAATATGTAATTTGTTTTGAAATTGGACATCAAATCGAGGTCCAAATCCCCAATTTTTGAAAAAACCTAGGTTCTACCCAAAACACCCAATTTCCCCCATGAAAATAATTGATTTGAAGTTGAAATCATGTTAAAAGATGTTAATGATTGAAGAAAACTAGTTAAAAATGACTTAAAAATGATTTGGAGAAAAAAGGTTGTTTGAAAAATCGCCGCTTATGTTTTTGAGGTTTTTTAAAAGTTCAAAATAACTGAAAATCTCGTCTATTTATACTTTCTCAAACTCTCTCCATGGATCGCATAAAAAAGACTGCTACCGCGGAGCTCCACTGCGGACCGCAAAAAATCGAGCGCGGCCGCGAAGGCTTGGCCTTGCTCACCGTGCACCGCACAAATCCCATCGCGGTTGCGAAGTCCCCACCGCAGTCGCGAAGCTTCCACCGCAGACCACAAGACCTGGCTTCAGAGACCTGCAACTTCTCTGAATCTGCAACTTTTTCCTAAGTGTAAAAACATCCCGAAACTCACCCGAGCCCTCGGGGCTCCAAACCAAATGTCATAGTAACTCAAAAACATCATATGGACCTACTCGTGTAATAAAATCATTAAAATAATATCATGAACATCAAATTAAGTCTCGAGATCAATGAAATTTTCTCCAAAACTTCTTTAAACATAAATTTTGCAATTTAAGTCCGAATCACGTCATATAACATCCGTTTTTCACCAAATTCCACAGAAATATCTTAAATCATATATAAGACTTGTACTGGGCATCGGAACCAAAATATGGGCCCGATATCATCACGTTCTAATCAAATTCCATTTCAAATTTCTTTAAACAATTCCAGAAAATAATTTCCTTTAAAAATTCATTTCTCGGGCTTGGGACCTCAGAATTCAATTCCTAGCATACGCCCAAGTCCCATATTTTCCTACAGACCCTCCGGGATCGTCAAATCATGGGTCCGGGTCCGTTTACACAAAATGTTGACAGGAGTCAAATTAGCTCATTTTATAATCAAAACTTATCGTTTTTCACAGATTATCATATTTAAGCTTTCAGGATACGCACCTGGACTGTGCAGACAAATCGAGGTGGATCTAAATGAGATTTTCAAGGCCTCAGAACACAAAAATTTCGTTTTAAAACAGATGACATTTTGGGTCATCACATTCTCTATTATAGCTTCTCCTTTGACCAAACTTTTGGGAAAAGATACCAAGTTTGTATGGGATGACAAGTGTCAAGAGAGCTTTGAAAAGCTCAAATCCTTGTTGACGCAAGCTCCAATACTTTCTTTGTCAGCTGAAGGGAAAGATTATGTGGTATACAGTGATGCATCTCACCGTGGCTTGGGTTGTGTTTTTATGCAAGAAGGGAAAGTAATTGATTATGCCTCTCGAAAGTTGAAATCGCATGAGTTGAATTATCCCACTCACAATCTTGAACTTGCTGTCATTGTTTTTGCCTTAAAAATTTGGAGGCATTACTTGTACGGAGAGAAGTGTCACATATTTACTAATCAAGAGTTTGAAGTTCTTGGGTACACCAAAATAGTTAAACTTGAGACAACGTAGATGGCTTGAACTCATCAAAAGATTATGATTGCACGATTGATTATCATCTTGGTAAAGCCAATGTGGTTGCAGATGCGTTGAATCGCAATTCCTTTGCAAGTTTAACTCTAAGTCCTTTGCCTTTGCTTCTTGAATTAATAGCCATGAATGTTTGCCTTTCATTTAAGTCTAATGGTGCTATTGCTAATTTGCAAGTCAAGCCAGTCTTACTTGAGCAGGTCCAAGATGCGCAGAAGTTAGATCAGAAGCTTGTGAAACAGGTTGAAGAAGTCCAAAATGGAAGAGAATCAGATTTTTCATTAAAGAAAGATGGTACCTTATTTTATAAAAATAGGTTGCGTGTTTCTAATGATGATGAATTGAGGAAGCAGATCTTAATTGAAGAACATAGTTTACCTTATGCAATGCATCCTAGAGGTACTAAAATGTATCGGACCATCAAGGAGCACTACTGGTGGAGTGGTATGAAGAAAGACATTGCAAAGTTCATTTCTAAATGATTGGTATGTTAACAAATAAAAGTTGAACATCAAGTCCCAGTTGCTTTACTGCAACCCTTGTCAATACCTGAATGGAAATGGGAAAGGATAACGATGGACTTTGTTTCTGGACTTCCATGCACTCAAAGAAATCATGATGCAATTTGGGTCATTGTAGATAAACTAACTAAGAGTGCTCATTTCTTGGCAATCAGAATGGACTACTCACTGGAACGTTTGGCCGAATTATACATTAATGAGATTGTGAGACTGCATGGAATCCCTATTTCTATTGTGTTTGACAGAGATCCAAGGTTTGTTTCCATATTTTGGTCTAGCTTGCAAGAATCTTTGGGTTCCAGGTTGAATTTTAGTACCGCTTTCCATCCACAAACAGACGGCCAGTCTGAGAGGGTAATACAAACACCGGAGGATATGCTTCGAGCCTGCATTATTGAGTTTGAGAGTAGTTAGGACAAACACTTAGCCCTGATAGAATTTGCTTACAATAATAGCTACTAATCATGTATAGGCATGCCTACTTATGAAGCTTTATATGGGAGAAAATGTAGAACGCCTCTTTGTTGGAACAAGGTTGGTGAAAGAAAATTGGTGGGTCCTGAGATTGTGCAACAAACTGAAGATAAGGTGAAAATCATCAAGGATCGTTTGAAAATTTCTTCAGATAAACAAAAGTCCTATGCTGATCTTAAAAGACGTGAAATTGAGCATCGGGTGGGCGATAAGGTATTTTTAAAAGTGTCTCCATAGAAGAATATTATGAGATTTGGCCAAAAAGGTAAACTTAGTCCTCGATTCATTGGACCTTATGAAATACTTGAGAGAATTGGTGCAGTTGCATATAAGCTAGCTTTGCCACCTGAATTAGGAAAGATCTACAATATTTTTCATGTTTATATGCTTCGAAGATACTGCTCAGATCCATCTCATATTCATCCTATTGAATTTATTGAGGTTAATCCTGATTGTACATATGAAGAAGAACCAATCTAAATCTTAGGGCATGAGATAAAAGAGCTTAGAAATAAGGAAATCCCCTTAGTGAAGGTTCTTTAGAGAAATCATTCAGGAGAGGAAGCTACCTGAGAGCGAGAAGAGGATATGCGAGTTCAATATCCATATTTGTTTCGGGACTAGTACAAGGTAAATTTCGGGACGAATTTTATTTAAGGGGGAGAGAGTTGTAACGTCTCAAAATTTTAATAATATTTACATTATTGATTGAGCATTTTTATAATGAGGAGATATTTTACTTTGTACTTCCTAAACGTGAAATTGACAATATATGAAAATTTCTTACTTTAGGTTGTGTTAATATTGACAAAGAAGCTCCATAGAGTTGCTATGTGTAATGCTTAATATTATTTTGATGAATTGTTATTAAATACATTATATAATTAAGTTTTTAGGATGCCAACCTTTTTTATTTATCTAAAGATATTAGTAATTTGGGTAGCCACATTTTTCATACTTATCCAAAGTTTAGATATAACTTTGGAAGACTTGTCTTTCCATATCCTTCTCTCTTGTTTCATTCTTGCAAGACAAAGAAACAAAACCACCTACCCTCTCTCCTTCTTAGCCTCTAAAAACTTCATGAAACCACCATAAATTTCTACTAAATCAACTAGAAAAATTCGTTTTTTTGGTGAAGATCAAGTTGCTCCTCTCTTTTGTGGTAAGTTTCTAGACTCGTTTTTGCACTAGATAGATATTAGTGTTTTCTATATATCATTTTGTGCAGAGCTCGGATTTAAGTGATCCAGAACTTTCTGGAAAGGTATTTCATAGATCTATAACTCTTATGAAGGAACCAAAATCTATTTTTGCTGGTATTTACCCTAAAAAGGATCAGAAAGCACAGGGAAGGTGCTGCCCAGATTTTCAGTTTTAGAAATACTCAATGTACTATTGTTAGTAATTTTAGCATAACATTCTATACAAAATAGATATGTGGGTGATTCAAGATGTTCTGAAACTCTAAGATATAGATCTACAATTTTATGAAGACTATACAGTCTGGTTTGCCCGTTTAGATCTTCCAAACTGAGCCACAACACAAAACAGTGATGCTGTACAGAATTTCTGTTTCAAACATTTTTGGGTAATTTTCACCAATATCATGTTTAGTTTGACATGTTAAATCATTGAACTTATTTATATACTTTATTGTGTATTTAAGGTATATAAACCCTTAAAAAATCAAAGAAAAAGTGATTGAGGAAGTGGACGGATTTCGTTTGTTTACGGCGTAGACGATTCGAACGTCCCCAAGTTGTGATTGAACTGTTTTGTGGTAAAACACCAAGGTTTGTGTATAAAATATACACTGTTTTTGCTTGCTGGAATATTTTGAAATAACCTAATATTTATTTTTCTTCTCTTCAATTTATATTAATATATTCGTATTATATCAAGTATTGTGAGATATTTGCTAAATTGCCCATTTGTACGGATTGTTTGATCATTTTGCATTCTTGTTGGGACTATGTCCTTCTTGTGGCAGTGACTTTGTCACTCCTCTTGGCATGCCTCTTGATTTGGATCTTTTGCCATGTTGACTTTGGATTTGTAGTTCGTCTTAAATTATGGAACTTGCCCGTATTAAGTGCGAACTAGGAAGCCATTTTTAATATGGTTCTTGATTCTCTTGACTATTGGGTTTTGACCTTAATTGATTTGGGGCTTCAGTCCATCTTGATATCTGGTCATACTTAGTGTGATGGCATGACGTATATATTGGGCGAAATATGGATATTTGGTAAACTCTCTTGGATTGATAGTATACGCTTTCTCGACTCTTGAACATTATTGTTGATATTTGGAAACACTTCAAAGTTTGATATTTGATATGTTTGATATATTTGTTCACTTATTTTAAATTATGTTAAATTGAGCTAACTATGACAGAAAAGGGGAATTGGAGAATTTAATGACTCCAAGCCCACAGTTTATACGCCACTAAGCTTTATGCTTAGTGATAGTTGTTTTCGAGTGTAGGTAATGTAGGGGATGAAATCTGAAGACGGCCATTATGAAGTAGTCTTTTGGGAGCACGTATGGAGATCACATTTGCATATGCACCTTGGTTTTGCATAGTTTTGGGACATGTACATGATATATACACGTCACATTTATGTATGTTATTTGGAGGCTTGTTGGATTTTAAGACCAAAATCTTGTAACTTAAATTTGGTAACTTATTTTTCTGGTTTAGGGTGTGTTAATAACTCAAGTCTTGTAATATGCTGGATTTACACTTTGTCTGGTAAATATGTACAAAGGAGAAGACTAGTTTCCTTTTTATATACCCGATAGTTTGAAATTTATGTACAATACAAACTTGCAGTGATGTTGAATGAAAGTATAAATTTGTTAGGAAGTTGTTTTAATCTGTTGATTGTTCAAGAAGGGTTATATAACCTTATGTTGATATTTTGACATTGTATTTTATTTAAAATAAAATTATGAAGTGTATTTTCAAAAAAAAAATATTGCACTTTGAACTTTTTCGCGTGGGCCTATTTTCGCTACTAAATTATTCTGAATATTTTTAACTAATGGCTTTTTAATATTTTATAAGTAGTAAATTAGATTTGTTTCCTAAGTAGCACCCTCCCAAAGTGGTTGCTACATTAGGATCAGTGGTTCCATTGTATTTGGGAATTTCTGGCATGCGGAACTTCTTTCGAATGGGCTTCGGAGCCGCACTTGAGGGGAAAGGCTTCTGCACAAATTTCTTCGAATCCAAACCTCTTAGAATCGGGAGTGCCCCCGGTATTTGGTCAACCCGTGAATTGTATGTTTCTACCTTCTTGTCATTAGCCTCGACTTTATTTTCTCCCGATTCGATCCGTTTAGTGAGCTCCTCGAGCATCTTCATGATGGCGGGGTCAGTTCCCGATCCATTATCGTTCAATTTCTCCTGTACAGGTTCGACTGTATGAACAACTTCCTATGATGTATCGAGTTCGATTCTACTTGGTGCTAGATTCTGGTTTTGGAGTTGCGCTATCGCAGCTTGCTGAGTCTGTAACATTTCAGATATCATTCAAAGGCTAATCCCGCCTTGTTCACCATTCTGTGCATTCTGATCGGCTGCCCGGGCGTCTCTGCGGACGCTATTTTCAAGGTCGGCGCCTAAATTTCCATGAATGGCGACACGAGAACTGACATCAACTGGATCTATTGCCGGTGGTCCATCAGGATTGACTGGAGGTACTACATTTCACGGGGCAACTATGTGTTTGTTCTCCCCATGAAGACCAAGGTCGGCGTCTCTGTGAGTGGTGCTGCTTGAGAGTTCGATATGTTGATTCCTGAAATCAAAAATACTTAGGAGAATAGGCGTAAAGCAGTGTGTGTTATGAGGATTAATACTAAGCAATCACTATTATCCTTAGACCCACAGTGGGCGCCAAATTGTTTACCCTAAAAATTAGATAACAATTAAACTTATAATGTGATTTTAAGGATACGTAATTTCACCTAATATTAATTGATAAATGTAAAGATAAATAATAGGAATTGACAATAAAATGAAGCAAATCAGTGTAGCAACGTAATTAGGCTCTCGAGCTCGTATGCCCTCGAACAGGTTAGAATAGTATAAGCTATAACAAGCTCATGAACAAGAATATAAGCTAGAAAGTGTTGTGTTGCTTTGATATTCGTGAATGTAATATGTGTACAAGATGATTATGACCCCTTTTATATAGTAGAGAAATCTTATTTATGGTACAATTCTAACTACGGAAGTAAATCCCATGATTAACTAGATAACCGCCCTTGATTTGATCTGTTTTGAGATTTACGCCATGATCTTCGGCCAGTCACAGATATCTTGCTTTTCCGTTATTGTGCTTTGCTCGAAGTCTGTCATATTTGGTCTCGATCGCTATTGGTCTCGATCTCGATAGATACCTCAATCATTGGACTCGATACCTCGCCTTCGTGCTCCGATTTGATCGATTACGAAGCTAACCCGCGATGTAGTTCCCTGATCTCGATCAAATAGCACAATCGGGTAGGTCCGGTTTTATCCTTGTACAGGAAATATCACAAAAGTAGTTTCTATTCTACATATTGCGTGCGAGAACTCCTATTAACCTGACAATTTTGTCATATAATTTCTTCATTGCGGCCGACGTTTAAAAAAGAAATTTCAATTTTCGATAATTGTAAAAATAAATGTTGAGCATTCCCATTTGTTCATACTCCTGTTTTTACTTAAGGCGATATGACAATTAATGCTTTGCTTTTACTGTCATATTTAAAAAAAAATAAAAGATAGAATAACATTAAAACTCTCCAGAATAACGATTTTAATGAGCTTTTTCTCGGGCTAAGTACTTATTAATTATCATCGTTTGCACTCTTTAGCATTCAATTTCCTACTAAATAGACGTGATTAATTACTTAATAGTAATATATTTCCTTGGGAGTAAATTACCTTTTCTGCAAATGTATGACATAATATTATTAAGAGAAATTTTCATAAAGCACTATCTTTTAGTAGTAATTAGCCATCTATAGATATTATTTGCTATAGTACGGATTATAGGTACCTTTTATGTGGTTATAAGATGTATTTGATGTATTTAAGCTATTGTATTCATGAATACAGTAGCAAAAATAGGCGTGAATCAGGGAAGTCCAGCTAATCAGTTGTTGTATTCGAGTGTATTCGACTGTATTCATGGAGTGAAACATGGGATTGCACTGTTTTTAAAACGAAAAGTGAATCAATTAACATAATAGACTCTTAATATAACTTAACAAACTCAATTATAACACACGAATTTTGTATTTTCAGTTATAAAAAAGATTCTCAACCGAAAAATACCCCAAAAAATATAGCAATCTTCAGAGAAATTATATAATACATCTGAATACATAAATTATATAAATTAAAAAAACTTACGAATACATTCATGGCATATAGCGAGATAGTGAATACAATGAAATACATAGAATACATCGGGATACATTGA